AAAAAGAAAAAGAAATGGTGGCACAGTTTGCAATCACTAGATCTTGGAAACAGTCCAAATTCCCATCACCTGATGTATGGATAAGGTGGGGATTTTTTTATACAATGGAGTACTACTCAACCACAACAAAGGATAAACTTGAGGCATTTTTAAGTAACTGGATGCACTTGAGAGCATACTCTCAGATGAAATAAATCGGACACACTTGTGTAACTATCTCACTGTTTCTCTGCTGTGAGAAACTGAAAGCGTAAATAAGGACCAAACATAGAACAGGGTCTGAAATAAGAAAATGTCTACCCAAATGAGGAGAGGAACTAGAGGGGGAAACGAAGAGAAAAGAAAAAGAAAAGAAGGAAAAATGGAAACAAAGCTTTTGTAAATAAAGTGGGGAAGAGGGGTGGAAGGGAGTAGGGGGATGGGAAAAAAGGAATCAAGATATATTATGTACACGTACAAATTCTCTATGATGATTGCGACCATTCTGTTACCTAAAATGTACCAATAAACTTAATTTAAAAAAATTGGTGCCAATGTGGAGAAGGAAATGAACTTAAAAGATCAATATGTTGATAAAATATACTACACTTGGCCGGGGAGGAGACATCCAGAGTGATGAAGAAGGTAGGAAAAATGATGCCTCCTGGCTATGATAACTTAAGGTGCTAGACTTAACGGATTTGCTTTGGAATTCCTTTAAGATATACTAGAGATAGAAGCAGTGGCTCGGCACAAAGACATTACTGAACTGACATCACAAGATAATGCAAATCGTCTTTGGGGGTAGAGGGCCTAGAGTCTCGAAGAAACAAAAATTTATACAGAGACGTCTGCCTGCAACTAAGAAAAGGGAAATGCCAGCCAAGCTGAACCACGGAACTTAAAAAAGTGCCAGCAAAGGAAGCAAGGATCAGCAGGCCTAAACGCAGCCGAGAACTGAGGAAAGCTAAGAACTAAAGTGGCCGTCGGACTTAGCGACCTGAAGTTAACTTCAGCCGAAGCGCTTTCTATGGAGATCTGGGGAATCTCTGATTGCAGAGCTAAATGCAGGCAAGAAAATGAAACAGCTGAAAACAGACAACTAGAAAACTTCATCTGTGGACGGACAGAAGGAAGGAGGCAGAGCAGCTGCGGGAGAGAGAAAAGAGATGTTTATTTTGTTTTCTTTTCTTAGAAGGCAAGAGAAGAATCCACCAAAAGGGGGTGATGATAGGAGACCCCCCCCCGCATGGCTGTTTCCCTAAAACTTCTGCGATCCGCCCTCCCCCATCCCTCGTTCTCCACTCTGCACTGCCCGGATCACCGCCACCCGGGCCGCTCCCGGGCGTCTTACCGCAATGGCCCCCTCGCTCAGCTGGCCAGCCATGGCTCCGCAGCTCTAACTCCCGCGCTCAGCACTCCACGCTAGACCCAGCTTCACTAACGGGCGGGGTGGAGGAGCGGGCTGCACCGCGATTGGCGGGAGCAGCTGTGCGCGCCTATCACGCCCCCGACGTGCGCGCGGCGAGGGGGCGGGTCCAGGTGTCGATCAGCCACCTTATTGGCCAAGGAGCGGCTAGCGGCTCACGTGACTCGCTCGAATCCGGGTTCGAGGCCTCCTGGCGGGATGGTCGGGGTCGGGGGCGGAGCTCAGAGCGGAACTGCGCGACTAGAGCACAGTACTTGAGGTGCAGAGCTCAGGCGGCTAGTTCCGGGAGCACTCCTAGTGCGCTCCGGGAAGCATATCTTGACAGAATGGTAGTTCAGAGGACTGTCAAAAATGTTTCCTTAATACGCTGCTGCTAAATATAGTCAGAACAGTGGTTCCCTTAGCAGCCCGGTGCAGGCCTCCTTCCTGTGCCAGACCGGGTATTTAACCCTGAGTCATCCTCTGTCGGTAAATAAGGGCAGTTTTCTCAGAGAACACAGCCTTTGCGGAGAGTCTCCACGTGAGGAGCCCAAGTTCAAGGTACATGCATTGGGGGCCCCACGTGTGATGCAATCACAGATGGAAACTCACTGAGTCAAAATGTGCGGGAATTTGCCAGGTGGACTCCCAAGTGAGGGATAAATGGTCTGTGCAAAACCACTGAAGAGATGAAATCTTTTTTTAAGAGATGGAATCTTGCAAGCTGGGGATAGCAATTAATATATCTTTGTATTGTGGGATGCAGAGGAAGAAGGGAAAAGTGAATAAAGTTGAGCTAGTGCTGGACTCTCCTATATGCTAGGAGGAGCAGCGGGGCGTTGAAGGCAGAAGACGGGTCTCTCTCAACCAGGGGGATGGATTGGGAGGAGAAGACCTGGAAACTAGTTAAAACGCTAGAAAGAATCCCCGAGAAGACATGGTGAGGACTTGACGTGGAAGAGTTAGATACTGAAGCAGAAAACTAAACTATGTAATAGAACTATTTAACTTAATTGCTGGGGTAAACGACAAAAAATCTAGAATGTCCTAAGCAAATAGAGTAGGTGCACGTCTAGTAGGATGTATAGGAGCAATGTACAGTAATCTGATTCATCTTTATAATCACCTCCTAGGGGCCAGGGAGATGGCTCAGTGGAATAAGCGCTTCCCTGGCAAGCACAAGGGCCTGAGTTCAATCCCTGGTTCTGGAAAATAAAAAATAATTATATATATATATATATATATATAGTCACCTCCTAACTTTAGTTCTTACACAAAGTAGGCTTTTAATAAGTAATTTTTAGTGAAAGGATGTTGAATGAATTGAGGTTATGAAATAGATCCTTCTTCAGCCTGTTAACAGCTATGGAAAAAGACAGCAGGAATTGATTTTGTTATTTTATGATTGATTGGAGGATGAACTCCTGAGTCACAGAAATTGTACTTCTGTAGATATCTGAACTCCTGTTTCTGTATTCACTTCCTAGATTGAAAAGTAGCATGGATCTGCCTGTGGATGAATGGAAAGCCTACGTACTTCAGAAGTGGTCGTTACTCCCAAAGTCGGCTCAGGTCGCAGTTTCTACCGCAGAGACTTTGAGCGAAATCTTCTTTCATTCTTCTTCGTTTCTTCAGTAAGTGAATGGAAGGTTTAACCAGAGATATTTTGATCTAGAAAACATTCTCTTGACTCTTGTTCTGATGTGATATGTCCTCATGGAGACATTAACTGTAGATTTTTACATTCTGGGGGATTTAGCAGTTCTTGCCGTTTATACAGGGTTTTTTTTGTTTGTTTTTTTTTAAACTTTAACTTTTGAAAACTTCAGTTATAAAACAGGGATGACTATTTCGCTGTTTCAGCGTCGACATTCTATTTCAATCATGCGGTGCTTTGCTATATTCACTAGGTTGTGAACCTTGCCATTTCCCAAAAGAGACAGTGAAGATTTTCTAGGAATGCATAGAAATGCGTACGTGCTTAGCTGGGCATGGGGACACAGACCTGTAATCCTAGCGCTTTGAGAAGCTGAGGCAGGAAGATCACAAGTTTGAGCTCAGCCCTTGTCTCAAAATAAAAGGCCTAGAAATATACCTCAGTACAGAGGTGCCAAATTCAATCCATCCCAGTACCAGAAAAAAAAATTAAGTGCTCAAATTTGGGAAGGATCACAGAACTCATCCAATCTAATCCCAGGAATCTCTCTCTCTCTCTCTCTCTCTCTCTCTTTCTCTCTCCCCCTCTCTCCCTCTTCCTCTTTTTAGTCTGGGTTTTCCTATGTAGTCAGGTTGGCCTTGAACTCACTATGTAGCCCAAGCTGACCTCCAGTTAACAGTGATCCTCTTGCCTCAGCCTTCCAGCTATTGGGATTATAGGCGTGCACCACCATGCTAGGCTGTTCAGAGAATTTTATTTATTTTTTTTAATGCGGTACTGGGGATTGAACTCAGGACCCTGCACTTGCCAGGCAAGTGCTTATTCTACTAAGCTATCTCCCCAGCCCCTTGTTCAGAGAATTTTTGAAAATTTATTTTGTGTCGACCACTGTGCTAGGTGATTGATGTATATCCATGAACAAAAAGTAGGCAGATTCTTATCTTTAAGGAGTTTAATTAATTCTAGCAAGGGAGAGATAGTCAATAAACAAATATATAATCTGTTAGAGGTAAGAAGTACAATAGAAAGAGGAATAGGGTAGGAAAACTAGGCAGTGCTGGGACAGGCTGTGGTATTAATAATCACTATGCTTCATTGAAAAAGGGAATGGTTAGCAAAGACTTGTAGTTACTGGAATTCACATAGTAGATATATGAGAGAAGAGCTTTCCATGCAGAGACCCTAGTAGGAGTGTGTCTGTCAGGATCAAGCAACAGCAAGAAAGCTAGTGTGAATGAAGAAAGTAAGCCAGAAGAGAGTAGTAGGAAATAACCTCAGAGAGGTAATGGGGTGTGCATGAGGGCTAGAGGACAGCGTTGGCGCAGATCATGCCAGCCAACCAATGGGGACCTCGGACCTGTAATCACAAGGAGCTGCCTCCTGGGAATCTGCTTGGAAGCAGATTCTTTCCCACATCCTCCATATAAGCAGTCACTTTGACTTTGACTTTGTGAGCCCCTAAATCAAGTCCATTTGGACTTGTGGACTGTAGAACTGCTAGAATTATAAAAAGGTGTTGTTTTTAAAGTGTTAAATGTGTAGTAATTAGGGCCAGTGAGATAGCTCAGCAGCTTAGGCAAGAGCAGGGACTGGGGTTCCATCCCCAGCACCACATGCCTTGCAGGCCCTGCCCTCGGGCACGCTGAGCCGGCCACTGAGTCCAGGCTTGGTGGCATGTGCCTGTAATTCCAGCACTGGGGAGGCCGAAAACAGGAGGATCACTGCGAGTCTGAGCTGTGTAGTGAGACCCTGTCCCAAATATGCAAAATAAAAATAATTAAAAATTAAAATAAATCTGTAGTAATTTGTTAACCAACAATAGAAAACTAAATGACAGGATTTTGAGACAGGAATGATATGATCTGATTATATTATAAAACAGGTGAGCAAACTACAGCCTCCAGGGTAAACCCATCCTACTGCTTGTTTTTTGTATGGCCTATGGCTTAGAATGATTTTTACAGTTAAGTATTTACATTTGTTTTTGTTTTATTATTTATTTTATTTATTTATTTTTTTGGTGGAACCGGGAATTGAGCAAAGGGCCTTGCACTTGCCAGAGAAGCACTTATTCCACTGAGCCATCTCCCTGGCCCCTAAGTATTTACATTTGATTTGACCTTAAAGAGCACTGACTTTGGCCCTGAATTATGCAAATAATATCCATTTCCTTAAAAATAATTCCATTTTTTTTCTCATTAGTATACACAAAATTGTACTGTATTATTGTTACTTTTTGAATTTTGTCAAAAGCTTTTTTGGAACTTTGTCTTTGTTATATAAGTAGCTATGGGGCTGGCTAGATAGCTCATCAGACTAAAGCACCTGCTTAGGCAGAGTGTAGCAGCTGGCTGGGGTTCAATCCCCATTATGCTGTGCCAGCCCCACCCCCAGGGCACACTGAGATGGTGATTGAGACTGAGTATGGTGGTGTGCACCTGTAATCGCAGTGCTTGGGCGGCTGAAAACAGGAGAATCACTACAAGTCCGATCTATGTGGTGAGATCCTGTATACCCTGTACTAAATACAGAAAACAAACAAACAAAAAAATAGCTATGTAAAAGCCTGGATTTTTCTCTTGGCTTACAAAGCCTAAATATTTACTCTGCCCTTTATAGAGGTCCACTGACCTCTGTTTTAAAGGATTAGCACATGAACTTCTGTTGAGGATAGATAGCAGTGGAAGTGAAGAGACCTGTAGTTACTGTGTTAACTCAGAGGTGAGATGACAGTAACTTGGGCCAGGTAGTTCTCCTGGGATGGGAAGAAGCAATTGGATTTTGAGGTAGATTTAATAGCATTTCCTGACAGGTGGACTGTGGGGTGTTAGCGAATGTGAGAAGTAAAAAGCAACTACTATATAGGGTTTTATACCATAAAATCTGAACGTAGAAAGAAGATATTGCCATCACCTGGGAAGGTCGCAGATGGAGCTGTTTCAGGAAGTAAGATAAGAGCTTTTATTTGAGTTTCCTACGTTTGGTAGACACCCAGATGGAGACGTCTAAAAAAGTCTGGAGTTAAGGAGCAAACCTTGGATAGAGAACAAATTTGGGAGTTATACATGGCATTGACAACTGTGAAACTGGATAGGTTCACCAAGCAAAAAAGTATAGATACTTATTATATGTGATGCATATTGATATTGTCCCTTCATCTTATCTCATTTAAAAATGCTAATCAGAAACCACTAAAATTAATTTCATGACCCAGTGAGTCATGATATGCAGTTTGAAAAATAATGTCTAAAGCTGTACAGAATTTCCAAAAGAGAGGGGAGCTGCTGCTGAGACTTTGGATAGTAGGTACTTTCCCAAGATAAATTGATATGCTTTACTGACAGAAAAATGAGAAAATCAACAAGAATCATTGTTAAAGTTTTAGCATACTGACAGGTATGGAAATAAAAGAAGAGCCTTTTTCTGGGTGTGGTGGCACAATCTGTAATCTCAGCACTATGGAAGGCTGAGTCAGGAAGGTCACAAGTTTTAAGATGAGCTTGAGCAAGTTAGTGAGACCCTGTCTCAAAATAAAAATATAAACCATAACAAAAAAAGGACTGGAGAAATGCAAATCAAAGCCCATTGAAGGGCAGAGAATGGTGATGCACACCTGTAATCCCAGCACTTGAGAGGCTGATGTGGCAAGATTGCTGTGAGTTCAAGGGCAGCCTAGGCCACATAGTGAGTTCAACAGAGAGACATTGTTTTAAAAACAAATATCTCACTCCATTCAAAATGACTCTCAACAGGAATTTTTT